AATAAACGAGAGTGAGTGAGTGAGTTGGGTTTCATGCCGCTTTTGAACAGTATTCAAGTTATATCACGACGTGTCGGTTTTATGTGAATGGAAAGCCAGAAGTGATGCAGGTCTCAGAGGTTTGCCACGAGCACGCGCATGGTGCTGACCAACACAGAAACATAATTGGGGGGAATCGGGATTCGAACCTACAATTATAGGTTTCTGGCGTGTCCAAGGGACGCAACTCTGCAAAGCGAATTGCGGCGCCTTCAATGACTTGGCTTTCCGTGTCCCCTCAACATTTACCACTCTCCGGCATATCTAAATATTGTAAAAACAGCAGTCAAACAATATTTGCCTCGTCTCAGCAGTTATGCCTAATCATAAAACAGCTGAAGATATCAACACTTAAACGACTGGTGGTAAATTATCGATGATTAGATATTTATCGTTTGTTCGATTCACAACAGAACAAGCAACACACTAAAACCTGCATGATAAACCATACACCATGTGTCAAAACAGCATACTTGGTGTTATAAAACACACAACATATCGGGTGACGGTGTGATGAAACATACCCGACGTGTTCACAAACATACACGTTGTTTTACAGCATACCCGGTGATAAAACAACATCCACGAAGTGAAAAAACACACCAGAAAACCTGATGTCATGAAAAAAGAATTAGTAATATTTATGCCTGACGTGTATCATTACCCTAAAAGACCCGTGAAGATCCGGGGTAGAATATGTCTTTAGCAACCATGCTTGTCGTAAAAGGTGACTATGCTTGTCGTAAGAGGCGACTAACGGGATCGGGTGGTCAGGCTCGCTGACTTGGTTGATGCATGTCATCGGATCTCAGTTGCGTGGATCGATGTTCATGATGTCAGTAACTGGATTGTCTGGTCCAGACTCGATTATTTACAGACCGCCGTCATATAGCCGGAGTAGTGCTGAGTGCGGCGTCAAATAACAACCAACAAACAAATCACACCCCAATAATGTTCCCCTGATACTCACTAAAAACAGAAAATAACAATTGTAAAAACCGTCCTTCACATTCCACCCGAAATGTTTCAATATATATATATATATATATATATATATATATATATATATATATATATATATATATATTCATCCATCCCTGCATATATGTATGTACGAATGGAATGTCTATATATGTAAAACGGCTTGCTATACAAACTCAGTTTGTGGTCGATCCCCGAAGTTTCATCTCTACAAAAGAAAGGAGTAACGGAACACCATGGCAATGACGTCACTAAACAACCTACTAATCTTCTATGGCGATGAGAAAAGAAGGAATGTTTACCTCTACAGGAGTGCTATCTTCTACCCGTTATCGGTCAAATCGGGTAAATGCTCAACAAACACGGTCACCCGACTCCCGCGACTAGACTACAGTCGGACCACTTACACGTGGATTCTAATACAATGTATTGCATCACATACCCCGGGACTTCCCGGGGTGGTAAGAAGAGTTGTGTCCCCTTCAACAGATGTCGTAAATGACATCCGGAGTTAGGGGTGACTTTGATAATGACGATAATAAAAACAGACTCTATGACATATCGCCTCTGAAGTGTACCGATTAATACATTTGCTATAATACACATGGTCGTTAATTACGTAATATTATTCGTACAAAGTAGAAGAGCTGTCTAAAGATTAAGAAAATGTTTTTTGTCGCTTCTGTTTACAAGAAACAATCGCCAGATGTGAATACCGTTTCTCTCCTTACTTTTTGTAGAAAAGCTACTGCAACATTGAAATCTGCTTCGGGTGGATATTTCCCACGATGCATTTGTTTGTTTGTTTGTTTTGTTTGTTGTTTAACGCCGCACTCAGCAGTATTCCAGCTATATGCGGGCGGTCTGAAAATAATCGAGTCTGGACCAGACAATCCAGTGACTGATATTATGAGCATCGATCCAAGCAGTTGGGATCGATGACATGCATCAACCAAGTCAGCGAGCCTGACCACCCGGCTCCGTTAGTCGCCTCTCACGACAAGCATAGTCGCGCAAGCATGGGTTGCTGAAGACCTATTCTACCCTGGATCTTCACGGGTCCAATGCATTTGTGATTTGGTAATATCAACTGAGCTTCTTATAGTCTTAACTCGACAGCAGTTATAGTCACTCACTCACTCACTCGATCATATATATACCTATATGTAGTTACGCCAGTGTATAGGAAACAGGTTTCAGTTGGGACTATACTGACTGTCGTCGCTGTCCAAAGACACATTACTTACCTTCTGACGTAATATATATTAATGCGCACATTCCAGGAAAACATGCACTGTTTAGGTAATAATTGTGACAGATGGGAAGAGATTGAATTGCAGAATGACGTAACATGATAAAGAGGTTATCACGCTTGTGTGTTTGGGATGGTAAATATCCTGTATTAGGAATAAACAAGGCTCACCAAATACAATGTTTATTCTTATACAGGATATTTACCATTCACTCGCGTGATAACCTCTATATATCATGTACCCTAACCCTTTTGTTCAGTACATATAATGTGCATATTACCGGAATAATAGAATATTTAAAAAAACAAACATATTTCCCGCTGTGTTCGAGTATCATGAACTAACGAAGCAAATGAGGGTTGGTCTGTTAGACTTCACATCTTGTGTCCATTGTACTATAACACTGGTTTCCATCGCGTACATACGAGATCTCACGCAATATACTCCCGAAATGTTCGTTCCCTTATTTCTCAAAGTCAGTATATAGGAACCAAAATGTTTCCATATCTCGTGGTTGCGATATACCAGAAGAGTAAATGTTTTGGGGCCACACACGGACGTGAAGTAACCGGTCTCTCGCATCAAGATACCACGACGTGTTATGTAATTTCCGCGAGTCAACACCGTCAGTCGGCAACATCTGACAACGTCGGCCAGGGCAGCGTCAGGCACGCAGCGGGCGATGAGTCTCCAGACGACTTGCCACTGTGCCCCAGGCTGCTGATCGCGCTACCGGCGAGGGATGGTTATTCCCAGTATCTGCTATACTGGTTTCTCGGTACCAGATTCGACCCCGTAAAAAGGCAGCATGTTTTACCTGTCATAGACCATTCTGTTGTGGGTCTCTGCTGTCATGATACTGGAGCAGGTGAAATACCAATCACCATCTACATCTCTGGGAAAATAAACACTCCACGGATCACAATTTATTCAGCTGCTTCCACCACTGTAACAGCATCCCACGTTTGATGATGTTAATGCCTTGGGAACACACCACTGACCCGTAAAAACATGTATTAGGGTATGTTTCTATATGAGGGAAACGAAAACCGCTTGACAAAGCATGCTTAAATGTCAGGACGGTACATCCCAATGATTTCGCAGTGTACATGTCTGGGTTTGTAAACCGGGACTCCTCGTATTTCAGAGACAATCTCCCCACCTTTTAGCCAACAGAAGAGGTTCTCCATGTGTCCTGCTGTGTGCTTCAATACAAACTGTCAAACTAACATTCCCTGGCTCTGTTCAACAGGGGTCTGTTCCGCCCACACTCCTTCGGGTATTTATGCGTAATTGTTTCCATTATTGGAAATAAGTGGCCAAACCTTGATAGGTATACGGCCCTTTCGTTTTAACGGGGGTTTAGGGTCATGAACTCTTTCCCTAAGGCCCTGTCAGCACAATGGCCGAATAGTAACAGTAATACTAACGGGTTTCACAAATAATAGCAATGATGATAATAATAACAATATATATGCAAAAACATGCATATTCGTACTATTGATTAAAGACTATAATACTGATTGTAATGTATCATTAAGAAATCGCTATTTGTATAGGCCTAATACTTATATCAGTATATGTGTGTGCATCTTATCTCACGACACCTTTTTTTATCAAACCTGGTTTATCAGTTTGCTAACAGTTATAAAGATTCTAATCTGATTTTATTGCAAATGTACACAATGAACACACTGTCAGCTGATAAGATATTTGGGCGGGTCAGACTAACAAGTTGTGTTTACGTTATACGACTGTATATCATAAAGTTAAATAGCCTATCAGTTCATAAATCTCAGATATCTAATCGTTGAGCTTTTAAGGCAAGGCGCCCTTGTGTGTGTGTGCGTGTGTGCGTGTGCGCACACACTAAAGAGACGGAATTTAGGATCACCCTATTCATTAAAATGGCATTACAGATCAACTATAGTAATATGAAATTATCGGGTGGTCCTTAACTTCTTTTCAATAATATATAAAAAATACACTTTTACATTCTATAATCAACTTGCAAATTATTCAAATAAACACTTCACTCCGCAAAGTAAGATCTTAAAGTCAATTTCTAAACGAATTCTGCCAAGATTAAATAAAATCTACCCTAATTGAAATCGAAGCATGCAACAAAATTACACGAACACCCAGTAGCGTTACTGTTCACTGATTTTCAGATTCTAACCCGTGCTGCAAAAAACAATGATATCAATCCCTGGCCCCATACAATTTCGTTGGGGTACTGACCCCTGCAAATTGCTTCCACATTTCGCCTCTCTCGTGTTGCGCGCTTGCTCATTTGATTACAATGCGTTGGGGCACATTTTGATGGGTAAACATGTTTTACGTACGAACAAAAATATCTACACAATCAGAAAGCTTGTTGGCATTAAAGTGTCTTTCAGTTTAAACTGACACTTCCTTGTAACCGACGTTCCAACGCGCTGGGATTAAAATTTAAACCCATTTAAACAGGCTAGGCGGTAGCACGTTTTCAAAATGTCAATCCACATCGTCACATTGTCATCGAAGAAACCATACTATGAAATCTATTGTAGATGTCACTCCATCATCACCACACTATCTAATCGAATGTACCTCCCTACCTGTCACAGAAACTCTTCATTAACAATTCCAAGTTCGCCGACAGCGTGACCGGCCCTCGTATCCGAGATCGGAATGAATCGACTGACCGAACAAAACAAGTTTCGGTTATTTCCCTCTCAACCGGAAGTGAGATGAAAACGAGGCTTCGAGTCTCGGGAGGCGAGTTTGTTTACCATAGCTACGCATATATTTCTTCTGTTTAATCGATTCCAGTTTAAAATAGCGACATCTGTTGACGTGTCAAGGTTTGTTGTTTGCATAGACGATGCTACTACATAAGTAACATATAATACCGGACCGAGTTACTGTTATCGATCACGTCAAAGTCTCCTCTTCCCGACTGATTGTCAGCTTTTCACAGGTGCGAACAGGTAAGAAAATATTCACGTGAATGGCGATTGTCCATGTGATTTCAACACCAAAACAGAGATAACGCTGTAGATTAGAGGGCAATAGGTGTTTTATTTCTCAAGTGTATTATCGACCAAGTCTGCACGCAAGTCAGCTGTATCGGGGGATCATCAATTTCTTAACAATCCACGGTTTATATCGATCTGAACATGGACGGCAAAATATGTGTTGACACGGAAGTGATCACACTCAGCGTCCTTCCACATGATGACAAGGTGTGTTTGAACAGCCATCATATTCTAAATTTTCAAACACTGTGTTTGTTACAAAATAACGTTTATGATATAGCAACGACTCTTTACAAAGCGATCTCAGTGATATATTAAATATGTGTCTACGTTAATTAAACAGGAGTAAGGGCTAATGTCGATTTGTGCAATATTATATACACGTATATAAAACCCGTTGAACATCATTTACCCCAATTCATTGTAGCAGTGACAATTTTTTCCACTCTTTCTGAACCGGGCACAACTTAAAATAATCTACTGTAAATTATTTAGGTCATGTGATAGTCATAACATTAAACGCACATCATGAATTTGCTGCACTACTAAAATTCAGATTTTCAGATTTTTGGGCCCGGTGCGTGGATGCTAATGTGATGATTCATTATACATGTTTTATGCAAGACAGTGTTTAAATTTAATGTGATCGCAAGAATCTGATTAATAAATATACAGTGGAAGCGCTTTAGCCAGGAAATCTAGCCTTTATATATATTGTGAACAGACAACGTTAGTGATCATACATATTTTTCGGGATAATATTTTTTATAAACAAAGGATGTCATTGTGCTACTGTTCCCCGATCACTCCTCGGTCTCTCTGAAACAGTTAATAAGCTGATGATGAGCCTAACTAGCCTGACTGTGCCAGTATCACCCTAACACTCTTTGCTGCATTATTTATTTTAATTTGTAAATAATAATAATAATAATTTTGATCATTTTTAATGTTTAATTCTTGTGCAGATATGATGAATGTTTGACGTTGTTACAAAACACACAACAGTAACTGAGTCCTTATTACAAACGAATTGACAAGCAAAAATCAAATCTTTCCCAGACTACACAAACAATTTGAATTTGCCTGCTTACTGTTATATCTCACAAAACTGTGATATTGTTGAAATACATGTTTGTTTGGCAAACCAAATTTATTTTCCTTTGCGTCAATATCACCAGGTAACATGTGTGTGTGTGGTTATTGCTTCACGATGCAGTTATAACTATCAATAGATGAAACCTTAAAAATACTGATGTCATGCACAGTATTGTTATTATCAGGACGAGTTTAGTTCTGTAAAAATTAAACTATGAATACAGATTACTTGCAGCAGTGACATATATCCTTAGTGTTCATTGAAAGTTATTAATTATTTAGCCAGTTATTGTTCCTGACCCGTGAAGATCCGGGTTAAAACAGCACTTCAGCAACCAATGCTTGTCGTAAAAGGCGAGTCTGCTCGTCGTAAGAGGCGACTAACGAGATCGGGTGGTGAGGCTCGCTGACTTGGTTGATGCTTGTCATCGATTTGAATTGCGTGGATCGATGTTCACGATGTCAATCACTGGATTGTCTGATCCAGACTCGATTATTTACAGACCGCCGTCATATAGCTGGAATATTGTTGAGTGCGACGTAAAACAACAAACAAAAGTTCCTGTTCCTGTTGGTACATAGTAATTGTAAACAAACAAATTTTCAACACATATTGCAGCCATTTGGACAAGCAATCCTCTTCCGCAGCTGTTCAGGATAAAGTCTGCTGCAATCTCATTAAAATCAGATCTGTTTTATAACGATACGGCTCTCTGCGTGAAGATCTGAGAACAATTGCATATGGGATGTCGTGTCAAGTGACCTCTCTGATCCGCCAATCAGCATCGAGACTTCCAAATACTTGTTTCGAATTCAAAGAAGCATATTTGATGTGTGTATCTCGATAACAAACTAAACGACAAATTAAGAAAAAAGTATCACGGCGCCATTAATGTTAGTAATAATTCAAGCACCCTGTCGTTTCTGAGCGCCGTGACATCTACGCCCCAACAGGTGTACCGTCGAAGGGTTATTTGTGTTATATTTGGGTTTTCATTTGTACAAATCAAATTGTTTCTAATCGAGGTGGTGAAAGGAAGCCGAATCGTTTATGAAAGGTGACAGGGGAGGTCGGGTAGCCTAGTGGTTAAAGCGTTCGCTCGTCACGCCGAAGACCCGGGTTCGATTCCCGACATGGGTACAATGTGTGAAGCCCATTTGTGATGTCTCCCGCCGTGATATTGCTGGAATATTGCTAAAAGCGGTGTAAAATCAAACTCACTCTCTCACTAACTAGAAAGGCGACAAGTTCAAGAACCCATGTACCCTTCACTTTGATTGGTTGCCATGGTTTTCGCTCTGGTCTCACCGGACACGGCACAATACGGAGGTCTCCTCACAGCGTCACGCAGAGAGATGTCGCGTCGGAGTAAAAGATCTGATTTTAATGAGATTGAATTCTGCTGCTGCGAAATGACATAGGATCATACACATGTTTAATATATGCGTAGGCGTATCCCCATTTATTTATATAAAGAGAGGATACATTATAAAATACAAAGCATTTTGAAATGATTGTGTATTGAACAAGAAATATGTGCGTTGATCTAGGAAACTGACCACATATTTCATCAGTTATTGATTAATAAATATTTCCTCGCCTATCTTTGCATGAAACAATTTCTCCAAGAGGGATTTAAGAGTTGCCTCCCTTTAATTTTTTCTCGGACTATTGCACGACATACAGTTGCGCGTATGGGATAAACAAGCTTCCCGACTAACTCTGGCTGTACAATAACTATGCTGGTCCAATCCAGACATTTCAGATATTGATACCGTTAGCATTGATCTACGCAAGTAGGATACGGTGACATGCATCAACCAAGTCAGCGAGCCTGACTACCCGATCCCGTTAGTCGCCTCTTACAACAAGCATAGTTATCTGTTGCGGCAAGCATGGGTTGCTGAAGACCTTTTCTCACCCGGACATTCAGGGTGCATACATATTGTACCCGTATTATGTCCAAACAAGTTACAGGCTGACAGACATGTTGTTTAACGTCTCACCAAGTGAACGTCCATATATAAATATATACAGGTGAGGTGAGGTGAGGTGAAATGGGATTTAACGTCGCGTCCAAGATTATTGCACTTATATAGCGACGTGCATGTACGTGTGTGTGTGTTTGTGTTTGTGTGGCTGCTTGTACTAGTCCGGACTGATGCTTTATAGTGCTAGCTCACTGAGATAACATGCCGCAGTTTAACATGAATACCCCACTCAGACACAGTATACTGACTCCGAGCCGACCAGTCCTTGTTTTGCACCTAAATGCCGAGCGCCAGACATGGTAACAACAAGTACCATCTTTTAACGTCTTTTGGTATGACGCGGCCGGGGATCGAACCCCGGACCTTCCTCTCTCCGGGCGGACGCTCTACCACTAGACCACGGAGGCGGTCTAAATATATACAGACACGCAAAGGCAGTACAGTGTATTAAAAGAACTTCTAACCTCACACGCGTCAGTGACTTACGGAGGCTAAAAGTGGATAAGGGATGAGGAAGGCAGTGTGAGGAAAGCATATCCAATTATATTCTACACTGTAGTTAATATCCTCTCATATTTTGCTATTCGAGATTGTGCCTAGTCTCTCTCCCCCTCTCTATCTCCCTCTCACACACATACACAAAAAACCCGACATAAACAAAAAAACAATATAAAAAAACAACACACACATTAGTATCGCACAGGCTGTGAAACATGGTTCCGTTGTCAAAGAAATACACATTGCCATACCAAGAACTGGCCGCACCATTTTATTATATTTTTTTATGATATTAATCACGTAATTTATGCACGAAACTACCTTAAACAAACAAAAGAACATTGAATCATTAGTAAAATAAAGTCATAAAGTTTGGGTATTAAGCTCTGGTTAACGAGTATGTGACTGTAAGAATATGTACATATTGTGTTGAACATTGTCAGTATACTGCACGTTAATGCAATGTCAATATACACTGAATACTTTCTCTTCTTGTATAGTTACAATGCCCGAGGAAGCAAGAGCCCCGTACCCCGGGTTCGATGCTACTGGAACGTACCAGACGCCCCGTCAGGCCCCGAGGGTGAAACCGGAAGCAGAGGAGATATCCCGGAAGCACAAAGGTTCAATCAATTTATTCGCAATCGATGACAAGGACACAGGCCCTGGGCCCGCACCACCACCTGTTCCAAAATGTAATACCTACGCAGCTCAACAAAACTACGAACATGGCCGGACAGGAAATGTTGGTACTCTGTTAGGAGGCGGCGTTACCCCCCGTCCTGACCCAGGGGCGTGTCCTAATGCCAGGGTCAAGCCCGAGGCGTCAGACATCGCAGACAACCATAAAGGTAAAGGCACTGCAGCGTTGTTTACCAGCTATGGTAATTTACCGAGGTCGGCTAGAACCGAACCAAGGGTCAAGGCCGAAGCACAGGTCAATGCCTCGATGGATCTTGGCGGCCGCATTAGTTCGATTTTACACAATCCAAAAGATTTACCAGAAACTCCTAAACCTGCTCCAAGAGTGAAAGCAGAGGCAGGGGACAATGCATCGTTAGGCAAAGGAAAACAGATGAATAAAGTCATGTGCAGGTACGGTGAAACTCCACGGTCGATGCGGGGGGTACCACGTGTTAAACCGGAAGCAGAAAACAACGCAACGCTTGATCAGGGCAAACGGATGGGCAAGTTGTTCACCAGTTACGGCAACCAACCGACGTCTGCCCGACCCGCAGCTCGAGTGACGGCAGGGGGCGAGGACTCCGCTAATCTGGACAAGGGCGGCCGGATGTCCCGACTGATGCACGACGCCGGTAGCTTCCCAGCTCCATCGGCACCGGCCCCCCGAGCAACCAACTCTGCAGCAAGGCGGATTGTGAAGAAAAACCGAGGCACCATGGGACAAGTATTTTCACAGACTTCCAAATGGCAAATGGTTGCCGAGCCGGGTCGAAGAGGTGCGAAAGCATTCTAGAGTCAGATTAGGATGTTCATTATAGTAGAGATTGATTCCAACCCTTTTAGTTAAGAATTGTGTAATGGGTGATACGACGATAAAACCAAAGTCAGATGTATAAGTTAGTATCATTAGTTTAACTTAAGAACGTAAGATCTTTGCTGCGATTTACGAAACTTGGGCCCCGTTAAACAAAGCCGTTTCAGCGCTATGACTGACTGAAGTCAATATAAAGGTATGGGGTAAAGCAGTGTTCGAAATACCTGCCTGCCCGACCGTCCGAGACGGGTTGATTTCAACTCGGGCTGCCAGATTTTCACATCCCCCTGCCCGACTGTCGGGTTATATTTCATATGTGAAAATATTCTAAATATATCCCGATGATAAGCATTAATTCACATGTAAAGATGAATGATAAAATGTAACCAAAAAGAAACCCCGTTAGCTTATCCTGAGAAACATATGATTATAGTGGGCAGGCAGGTTTTGGTCAGGGCTGGCAAGTATTTCAGCTTGCCAGTCCTGTGGTCTTGGGGAGTTTCATACCCTGGGGTAAAGGATAGTTTAAAATAGCGTTAAGATGGTAGATTCCAGTTTTGAAATACTGCTTTCATTGTCTTCTCCGACGTGGCTTGTTATGTAATGTTGATAAGCGTGTCTTTAATTAATAATATACTTCTTTTAATGACATATTCCTCATAAAAACACAATGTAGAGCTGAGGTGTATGTTTCTCCAAGGTGATGCATGCATAACAAACGATGCATGCACGAATGCATAATGCGACAACCATGTGTTTGCTTCCTTAGATTTTTAAGAAGGAGTCTCCATCTGTAAGATAAAATAAAGATGGGATTTGAGCCTCGCTGAAAACATAGATACGAAAAATATATAATATGTTTATTGTGTATAAATGTACAAATTGTTAAATATTATGTTTGTCAGTGCAAGTGCTCATTTCCAGTATTTAGAAAGAATAACTAAGTATTTTGCCACGGAAATATTGGACTGAATTGTCGTGGTAAACTGATGATGTTGGAGCCCGGTATCCATGGGACAATATAGTTCTTTGTACAAAGAGACTTTCTGTTTGCAGACACGTTCCAATATACATTGTTTTGAATATGTGATTTATATTTGGTGTTAAATTCATAATGAAATTAAATATATTTTAGTGCCACTTAAGATGATGGATGAGACATAACATGCAAAGTTCCGTTTATTTTTTATTAACCTAACCTTGGATGCAGATACAAACTGGCAATGAAATGAATAATGCAATATATGTTCACATTTATATTATTAAACTTTTTACATGTTACAACACATGTGGTTGCGGGTGCAGTGGATGTGTGGGTCTCACTTGGTATATGTTGCCGATGTCGGTGCCCAACGCAAGGAATCTGTGGAAATTATGATCTTTGCACTCAGCTAACCGAATATATGTTTCATTAATTCAATTAATATGTTAATATTTACAAAGCTTCTGCAGAATGGTATTTTAATATCTACAATTGTGATAGAGTTGTTTGTTTATCAGAAAACTCCTCGACGTCTCGAATTGTGCTAGTGATTCAAGCGCATGTAAAATAATGTTGTTTCAGCTGTTGGTTACTGTCTTTTACCCAGTACGGTATAACTCTTCCGTACCATTACGTATGCTTAGTATGTTTCGATTGACGTATTAACTCGCATGTTTTTATTTTTGAATTTTCACTGCAATGTTCTTGGAATATATGGCTCTTTCTTGTTGCCCCTATATAGATATATTTTCAACTGCAATATTGTAAACCGAAACGTTTCCATTTTGGGATCTGTGCCTTTTCAAATTGTAGCCAGAGTTGTTTTGTTGGAACAGAGTATCTCAATAATATTTTACGAAGTCATTATATACATAAAAAGCGGCCTTTGATGAGAGTTTAATTCAGTGTTTTATTTGTGTACATACAAGAATAAATTTCTACTTTGATCAAATTCACCACGTGTGGTTCCTTGTTTTCATGGTATGTAGATATTTGCATCATAAAGGTCATTTCAGACAATGGAGAAGGTATATAATGCATCATTTGGGATACAAACCCGGGTTATTTTCTTCAACCACTGGACTATGCAGATATCTTTCAATGGTCAGTAGTATTCCTCTAATTGTCGTGCAATAGTAATAAATGAATAAGTACTGTAAACCGTGTTTAAAATATTCAGAATAATCAATTACATCACTTTAAATATAAATCCACGAGACAGTAGTGCCGCTTAGGGGTTCTAGGGCAGACTTTGCCCACAGAATCCCACTTCCGACGGCGGCTAGTTGTTCATGCTGTTAACCACTGGTTTGCCTAGCCAGGGTCGATTATTTACAGTCCGCCCTATTGTTGTTGGAATGTTCCTATAACTGCGGCGTTAAGCGGCATTCATTCACTCGCTCAGGTGCTATTGCAAGCGGCCACACTTCACTGAGTATACCAATGACATGCATTGCTAACTGAAAGGGTTAAGGTACAAAATATACTATAACAGCGACCGTGGCGTGTAGTAGATAGAGCGTCTTTCCAGAGTGCGGAAATTGGGTGTTTCGATCCCCAGGCCGAGTCTTACCACAATACTATATACGTCAGAAGATGGTACTTGTTACTCTATCTGGCACTCGGCATCAAAGGGGTTAAACAAGGACTGTCCAGCTCGGAGTCGATATAATGTGTCTGAGTGTGGTATCCAGTTAAACTGGGATATGGTATCTAGATGGACTAGTACTTCCACTCCACGGATAGACGCTGTATCCACGAGACCGCGAACGAGGTTCTAATGGGGTCCAGAGGAGGGCGGTTTTTTCTATATAAGGTGTCCTTCATCTTCCCAAGGCGAGGGTGTTAACTGACTATAAAAGTCCGGTTCCACCTTTGCCGAACTAGGCTGGTATTATGGAGTTACGTTTTGGCTGGACTAACGAGTCTGCATAGTCCAATCGAAATCGCGCAACGAAATCGAGTATGACCCCGTAGCTGTGGTACAGAGAGTCATAGGTCTTTTGTTGGAGGTCATTTTTACAGATTAATTGATGTCAAAGTTCGTCATACATTACCTATGATTGTGGATTCGAATCCCGGTTCGCCTCGATTATGTGTCTAGGTTGTCAGCACCACACCCGTGCACATCTGAGACCGGCATCACTTCGGGCTTTCCTCACACATTAAGCTGACACGCCGTGATATATCTGGAATACTGTTAACGGCGTCAAACTCCAGTTGACTCACTCACTACATCGTAATGAATTATGTTTTAATCTAAAATATACTATCTTCTTCCACTAACCCTGCTTTTTAATAATATTTTACGTATTTATTTGCTGTCTACTCAGTTGACCTAATTAAATCGTAATGACCTATATCATATTATTATCGGACGTATTTTATATGTTATTTGTAGATTCATATAAACTAAGAAAGCAACTGCCAAATAATACCATAATTATTCACACGTGACTTGCTACACCCAGTAGTGTGCACAATAATTTATCTTCTGTTATTGTTTTATCCACAAAGCATAATCTGGAACAAAAACAAATTCAATTGGACTTGCAAACATGACCGTACAAGTGGTCAGCCTGTTGTCAGCACTTTGAAGCATTACGATTCGTTGTTTAATGGAATCCGTGACCAGATGGAACAAGAACTGGATATTGTCCGTGTAATGTTAGTGTGTAATGGAAAACTTAAACTAATTGTCATTAACGGGAAACGATCGTTTTTGGACTTGACGTTTTGTGACATATTTCCTTGACTGGTTAGATGTTTGAATTCCATGTAATGTAACAAACACAAGCCCCTCTGTAGGCAAGTATTGAAACTGTTTATAGACATTGGGTTTCCATCATTAAACAAAGCTGATATATCGGTCGTATTTTGTTGTCAAGGGATATGTGCGTTTAAGATTTTGTGAAATTATGTTGCGTATTTTTTACTTATATTGCGCCAAATACGCAGGTTTTCTGCGTCAGGGCAGCCCTGGTTGAACCAAACTTTATTGGCACGTCTACAAATATGAGGCTCCAGAAAACATGTTGCCCAGCTTTGTCTATCGGAATCACAGTGTGGACTTCGATACTAATGGCCGTATTCAACACAGGACGGCATTGAACAATAATTGCTCAGCATGTTTACTCCCAGCCGGAGTATGGTGGTTGGAAGCTACGTTATTGATGGAAAATGCTTGTAAACGCAGGCAAACGGTTAATTAGCCATTGGCAAGGAAGTCAACACTAGATCAGATTAAGTACTGCACTTATAAAACGACGTGCATGCACATGTGTGTGTGTGTGTGTGCGCTCGTGCGCGTGTGTGTAGCTGGTTGTTCTCCCTCTCCTTATCCTGCCTATTGTTCTAAGGTATAAGTACAATCAGCCGTGGTTGGGGATGTCACAATAAGGTGTTACCTTTTTCTATTGCAGGTAGCCAAACTTGTGTGAAAGAAACTTTACTGGTACTGGTTGATTATTTATTGCAACAATAATCACACTTGACATAGTAACTCACACCATAACAATAAACACTAACTTTACACAAACAATTACACATTTCACATATATGGTGTTGTTTCTTAATTTTGAATCTATGACCATTTTAAAAAAGGGAGTAGGAAAACCGAATATTAACTTGAGTATGACAGTGTTTCTGTCTACCGGTAAAATTAGGCTTGGATCCTTAATTTTAGACTAACATCTAGTCTCTGAAATGAACATATCGTACATAAAAAAAACAGTTGTTCAGTTATCTTAATAAAAATATAATAAAAAGGAGCCCAGTGACTCTCTTCGTTTTCAGATAACCTGATACTGCAGTGATCTAGACTTGCCAAACATTATAGACTTGCATGGGCTGTATTTGATATATATTTGTATCAGGGTCTGTAAGACAGACTACCTTAAGTTGTGTGACTTCAAGTCCCTGTGGATCGGCACATAAAGTACCTTATAAATCTATGTTGTTGAAAAAACATCGGCGATACTCAAATAAGTATATTTTTCGAACAAAGTCAGCTTATCCCGTTGCCTATTTTAGGTGCAAGGAAATAACATTTCGCTTTACGTGGAGGTTAAATTATATTTGAAGCGACTTAGTCCTGAAATATTTAAAAAGAGATAGTAGTGACTGATTCAGAGAACGTAAAATCGTTATCACGTCACCCCAATTCGTGGACTGCGTGGGATGTTAGCATATATAGGTGACGTGAAATTAGGTTAACGTCGCGTCCATGATTATTGCACTTATATAGCGAAATATTAAAAAAAGGGATAGTAGTGACCGATTCAGAGAACGTAAAATCGTTATCACGTCCCCCCAATTCGTGGACTGCGT